ATACCTGGGTTCCGCTGCCGCGCAGCCTGCGCTTGGAGGGGAGCCTGCCAGCTCAGTTCTAGGTTAGGGATGGCTAATGGGGCACGCAGGGACCGCCGCCCTCCTTGAGCTCTCCCCGGGAGCCCCCCGGGTCGGAGCCTGGGGAGGGGGCCGGATGACGTCATGGAACTGTTGGAGGATTTAGCTCACAAACCCGCCCGGGAGCGGCCCCGAGCCGGTGTTCCATTTAAGCCGACAGTGTACCACACTCTCGGCTCCACTTTCCCAAACACGGCACGACAACTTTCCACCTGTCCCCAGATGTCAGCGGGCCTGGGGTTCTGAAGGAAATCAGGGTGTGATGACCAGACCAAAACCCCAGATAATGAGCATGTACGTATGGGCTGGCAAGGCTCTCACTAGCATGGGTCAAGCCAAGAGCCCATTAAAATGCTTCCAGCAAGGTCTCAGGTAGTGGGAGAATGATTTCAGGCCAAAGTATGCCCCATGGCACAGGTAACATTATTACTAATTCTAATAATAATGCAGACAGCTATGGAATGTTACTGCCTTCCAGAGACCAATCAAACCCTTGAAGTAGATGTTATTGCCCCATCCCTACCCTCATTTTACAAATGAAAAAACTAAAATTTTGTGAAAATTTGTAAAATTAAAATTTAAAGCCCAAAGAGATTAAGGAACCAACGCAGGATCACACAACTAGCAAGTGACAGAGCTAAGATTTAACCCGGATCTCTCTTCAAGCCCAGGCATGCTCTTTCCAAGACGCTGCATTGCCTCTCAGTTTTCAAATAGGTGCATTCCAAGGGTGGGGGCATCTCTGTCCAACAGTCTCCAGGCTCCCCCCACTTCTGTTCTATTTGTCCCAGGAAATAATGGGGGACGGCGACAATCTGTCGGAAAGCAGAATGAGGACTGTTTGCTCTTCCAGAGAGAGGTTACCGGCTTACCAAGTTAATAGCTAACACGCCTAGCTTGTTTTGACTGGAAAGGGAGGGGACAGGGTATACTTAAAACTGCAGTAGGGAAGAAGGGTGATCTGTGGAGTACTATGTGCCAAGGTCTGTGTTGTGCTAGTGGTATACTTTTTTTTTTTTACGAAGCTAGCACAGAGGCAATAATAATAATAATACTGGTATCCAACATTGATGTGCCAGTCACTGCCCTGAGTACTCCACAAGATAGAGTAATGGTGGGAGATCTCAATTATTCAAACAACAGCTGGAAGGTTAATTTTGCTGTAAGTCTGGCATCAGCAAAAGTCCCGGTTTGCCTCACTGACTTTCATCTCTAAAGCAGGACCTGTCATCTGACTGCTGGGGTTTGCATCCTACCTCTGCCAGCTTGGAAAGTGGAAGTTGTGTAGCCTTGAGCAAGCACCGGAACCCCTGTGAGACCCTGTCAGTTGAGGGTGGCGATGGTGCCTCCCTCATCGCATTCACGTGAGGATCTCAAGAGACAATGTAGGTGAAGGACCAACCCAGTGTGCAAGGACGCTCCCGCCGCGCTTGAGCCGCTAATATTATTATTATTACCTCTCAGAAGAGAGGGGGCATTTTCACCAAGAATGAATACATTAAGGTGATACGGTAGAAGTAACTACAACCAAGAAGGAAAGTGACTGTGCTGTCCAGGAGGTAGTAAGGATTTGGGAAGACAATGCTGGGCACAGAGTTGAGCAAAGCTCGTTTCAGAGGGTTTGGAGAAAAGAAAAGTCTGAGCCACTGAGATTCTAGCCTAAATCCCTAAATAAGAATATGTGTGTAAAGGATGGAAGAATGGGAGCATTCCAAACTAAATTTCTAATGATTCATTAATCCTATTGAGAAGAAGAAGGAAGAGTTAAAAAAAAAAAAAAAAAAAAGTCACCATGACAGGAACAGGGGGCTCTGAGTTGAGCCCATGCTTTCAGGGGACTGTACACATACACGCAAAGGCAGGGTGTGAGCATGCAACCAGGTGTCAACGCACAAAAGCAACTCAGACCTATGAGCCTGGCTTCCAGCAAGCTGAAGACCAAGCAGAATGTTAGACAGTGTTTGAAGCAAAAAAAAAAACATGGAAAGCATAACTCATTAGGACTTTGCCATTCCAAAAGAGTTTTTATCTTTTCCAGAGAGAGTAGCTCTAACCAAAAATGGAAGAATGGATGCTAAAGATGGATACCACAGCCCAAGGTAGATCAATAGAGAACTCTCCAGCCGTGGAAAACACACGCATTTGAATCCAAGTTGCTGGACAAGCCTATAGATGTCATTCCAGGGCCACTTTGACAAATCTAGGAAACAGTAGGTTCCCTCCAATAAGAGGCAAACAGACAACGCCCCAGTTTTCAAAAAATTAGAAAAGGGTATATTCTGGAAACCACAGATTTCTACACTTCATCCTGTCCCTGGCAAGATTCTGGAATAGAGTATTAACCATATATTTTCCCTTTACACACAGATATTAGTGACTTAATACGAGTTCTCTTTTTCCTTTTCTGACAGAAGTTGCAGGGTGTAGTCTTGGAAATGCTATTTGATCTCAGCACAATGTCCTATGTTTTAGTGGAAAGAACACAGGATTGAGGTCTGGAGACCTGGCTACAAGTCAGCCTCCACCATTAATAAGTTGGGTGATCAAAGGCAAGCTCCTTAACCTCACTGGGTTAAGGGGCCTGAAATGGGGCCTTAGGTCCCTCTCATCTCTAAGGTCCATAATTCCACATTGTAATGAGAAGTAGGCTGGGTGACAGTCCCGTCCAGAGGATGCAGCCCCGATAGGGCAGCCACATCCCGAGGGCTGTATAATGCATGATGTCTGGAGTACTAAACTGACCAAGGAGATGGCTTGCTCCCTGTTTTTGCCCTTTATATACATGTACTAATAACATAACCCTCAAATGATAGGAGAGCTATAGCAAAGGGTCATAGAATGAAGATTTAAAATAAATTATATGGACTGGAGGAGGCTTGGGCTGAAAGCCAGATGAAATTAACTGACATAAATGTAAAGCTCTATGTCTAAGTTATTTAAAAAAAAAAAATACCTACAGAAGCTCAGGATAGGGAGGAGCTGGCGGAGAAGCAGACGATGAGCTGAGGGTCTGGGTGACTGAGATGACCACCCATTCAAGCTGCAGTGACTCAGCAGTTATCTAGCTGCTAACTAAAGAGTTAGCACAACTTTAGTCATATTTAACAATAAGGATAGTGATAACGGTGACATGTGTTGAGTCCTTACATGGGCTTCCCACATTATCTCATTTCTGGGGTGTGATAGCATCATAGGATCACAGCCCAGGAAGTGCTGGTGCCGTTGCTGCCTGTGCCATCAGATCCTGTCGTTGATGTTGTTTTCGATGCTGGGGGTCTTCCAGAGTAGGAGAGTAACAAACTGTAGTGTGTGCAGAACAGGGCAACCAGGATGGGGAAAGTCTGAAAACCAAGGCCCACAGGAGGGGGCTGAGAGAGTTGATGGTGCTCAACCCAGAGGAGGCACAAGCAAATGATGGTATGAGAGAGAGGTGAATAAAGGAGAGGTTAAGACTTGGGCTCTGACCGCCTGCTGTCAAACCTGTGTTCTTCCATTAGTAAGTTGTGTGACTTTGGGCAAGTTACTCAACTGCCTCTGTGCCTCAGTTTCCCCAAAAGTAAAGAGAGGGTAGTCATAGTAACTAATTTATAAGATTATGATGAAGGTAATAAATGAGATGTGTATAAACGCTTACCTCGCAGGTGGCAATGCTTAATACATATGCACAATGGTGATGGGGATTATCATTATGTATCTGGTGGGCTGTCCCTATGGAGGAGGAAGGAGGGTTATTCTGTCAGCTTCAGAAGGGAGAAAAGGACCAATAGGTGGAAGCAGGAAGAAAAAGAATCTGATTCAACATAAAGAAACTTTTCAAACAATCAGAACTTCCCAGTGAAGAAATGGGTTCCCAATTACCAGAGAAGCCCACTCTATTCCATTTTGTAGTTGGGGAAACAAGTCACAGGGATGAAAAGATACCACAAATTAAGAGCTTCAAAGAAATCAGGTGGTTAAGCCAATATGAATGGCAACAAACCCTACCTTTCTATTCCTTCTCTGTTGAGAAATCTCTGGAAGTTTGGATTTGTAGGTAACCTCCAAGACAGTGGATTTTTGTTGCATGCTTTTGGTTTTTCCTGCCTCACAGTAAGCAAGATAAAGAGCCAGGGCTTTGTAGTCAGATTCCTTAACTTTGAACCCCTGCTCTGTTATTTATCAGCTGTGCAGTCTTGGATAATTTAGCCCACCTCTCTGGGTCTGGTTTTTTCTTCTGTAGATTAAGTAAACTCACTACAATCCTGAGGAACAAGGATCAGAGCTAATGTATTTCTTGCTGCGTTGGTAAACACTGTGCCAAAGTGGGCTGGCTTTATAGATACGCGAGACAGGCAAATTCAAGACTTCTGGCCTTTTGTGCCTGCTGGGGGATGCAGAGGGTGGAGACTGGATAAAGAAACTCTGCTACATCAGCAAGCACGTGTGCCAAAGTTGCACTTACGATACAGATACGGGAGACAGGCAAATTCTGAAAGCTTTCCAAATCTTAAAGTCTTGTACTTCTCACAGGAGGGACAAAATAAGAGGAGGTAAAATGAAACTTTTCTGTCATTTGCTGAGAATCTACTGTGTTAGGCTCTGAACTCAGTGTCCCACCAAATCTTCACAACGCTTAAGAAGGGGCACGATTGGTGATATTCAGGTTAGACTGGAGAACAGTTTTGCAATTATCGTGTGAACCATCCCTAAAGCCCTTTTAGACCTGTAGAGGGTCCTGGACCCATCTCACAAAGTGGTCAAAGGCCTGAGCAACTTTGCCCAAGACTCAGCTTCTGACAGAAGCAAGCTGGTGGCTGAGAGTTTGTCACATCCTTCCTGAGAACTCCCACTGCAAACAAAGACACATAAACACACACCCAGAGCACCTTGGATTGGGATACGCTGAGCACACTAACACGTGACTTTTTCTCTCTGCCCCTCAGTGTGACGGCGTTGGGGTAGACCTGAGCAACATCTTCCTCGAAGGTATTGCCATTCTCAACATTCCCAGCATGTACGGTGGCACCAATCTCTGGGGAGAAACCAAGAAGAACCGGGCTGTGATTCGGGAAAGCAGGAAGGTCGTCACGGATCCCAAGGAACTGAAATTCTGCATCCAAGGTAAGCCAGGCACAAGGAAAATTACTCTAGGTCAGTGCCCCGGTGGGAAGGGTATTCAGGTGGATCTGTTAGTAAACTGTTTTAGGGCCTATAGGAGACTCTAGAAAGCCTGACAGCCCGACGAGGATCTGGTGTGCTGGGGATGTGCTGACTCATCATCCCTGATCTTGCAAAGTTTAAAACCTAATTGAGAAGAGAACATTCACAATAAGGGAGCCCTAAATGACAGTCAGTCAAAATGTGCGACTCCCTGAGGTCAGGAGTCAAACGCTGCTCCTGTCCAGATTACCAGTGTCCTCCACTACATAAATTCAATAGTCAGTTCTCAACCTTGATCTCACTTCACCTATCAGCAGCATTTGACCCACTGATCATTCCCTCTTCCCAGAAACATTGTTCATTGGCTTCTAGGACTTCACATGTCCCTGATTTTCCTCCTACCCCACTGGTAATTTGTTCTCAGTCTTACCCCACTGGTAATTCGTTCTGAGTCTCTTTTGCCAATTCCTCATCTTCTCTCTAACCTCTTGGTGCAGGCGGGTTCCCAGGCAGGGTCCTCGACCCTCTTCCCTTTTCTGTCTGTACTCACTTCCTTGATGACTTCATCCACTCCTGAGATTTTATTTAAATACCATGGGAGTGCTGATGACTCAGCATGTCCAAAACTGAACTCCTAATGTCCCTCCCCCAAACCTTCTCCACCCACAGCCTTCTCCATCTCAGCTGATGATAACTCCAACCTGCCCGTTGCTCGAGCCAAAAAACTTGGCACCATCCTTCACTCCTCTTTTTATCTCACAGCTCACATAGAATCCATCAGAAAATCTGTTAGCTCTACTTTTAAAAAACATCCAGGATCAAGCCACTTCTCACTACTGCATTCCTACCACCACCTTGGTCTGAGCTGCCATTTTCTGTCCCCTGGACTACTGCACAGCCCCCTGACTGGATTCCCTGCTTCTACCCCTGCCCTGTAGTCTCCTCTCACCACTGCATCAGAAACCCCAGCGAAAATATGTCAGATGATGCCACTCTCCTGCTCAAAATCCTGCAGTGGCTCAGAGTAAAAGCCAAAGATCTTCATGTGGCCTGAAGGGCCCCAGATGGTGTGGCCTCCCATTATCTCTGAGACTTCATCTTCTACTACTCTCCCCCTCACTCCCTCTGCCTCCACCACCCTGGCTTCTCTAACACAGCAGGTTCCTTCCATGAACCAACTATTCTTTCTGCCTGGAACAACAAAGTGGTGTGCCTTAGAGGCCATCAGCTGGGCCTTCCCCTTTTAACTCACCAGAATACAGAGCACAGCTTTCTTAAAGCTACCTTGACCCCAGGGCCAGCCTGGTGGCACAGCAGTTAAGTTCCCACGTTCTACTTCAGTGGCCTGGGGTTTGCCAGCTCAGATCCCAGGTGCAGACCTACACACCACTCACTTGTCAAGCCATGCTGTGGCAGGCATCCCACATATAAAGTAGAGGAAGATGGGCACAGATGTTAGCTCAGGGCCAGTCTTCCTCAGCAAAAAGAGGAGGATTGGAGGCAGATGTTAGCTCAGGGCTAATCTTCCTCAAAAAAAAAAAAAAAAACCTTCACCCCTACCCCTTACTAGCCATTTCCACCAGTGAACCAAGTGGGGACTCAGTCAGAGTTCCTGGCAGCTCTGATTTCTCTGTGGATTGGATGAATGGCTCCAAACTGATCTTCAGGGGTTCTCAAAGAACTGGTGAGCTGGGGGAGAGAGGCCACGTGTGAGGGTATTGGCAAAGACACCACACCAGGAGGCAGGAGACTAGGTTCGAGTCCAAGTGCTGCCACTAACCTACTTTTTAGCATCTCAGGTTTTTTTGCTATAGAATCAGCATCTCATGTAAAATTTTGATAATTGAATGGATGAGTTGAACCAGATCATTGATTCTTAAACCAGGCCTGCTTGTTGAAAATGAAGATTCCTGGGCCCTAACCCAGATCTCGCTAATCAATCTCTGGGTTTGTTCCTGGGAATCTAAATTTGTAATGAGCTTCCCAGACGACTCTGCTGGGCTGCCAGGTTTGAGAAGCACTGACGCAGACAAGCGTTCATGACTCTGGATCTGTGGTCTTGGATGTCCCAGGCCATTAGTGTTAAGACTGGATGTGATCCCACCAGTAGAAGGAGACAAAATTTGGCTGACCACCGAAAGGAGAGGTTACTTGCTTATTTCAGACACATCTATTAGACAATCAGATTGTTATATTCCAAGGCAAAGTCATCAAGAGGCGTCATCTCCACACCTTCATCCTTTAAGAGAGGACTCAGGACTTCTTATTTCTCTGTTGCGCTCTTAAGTCCCCTTTATTTCACACAGTGAACTTTTCAATTTGTATGAATTATTAAACTGAATAATGTGTTTCTCCTTCCTCCCTTGGCAGGGGAAGTTGTGGGTGCTAGCAGAGGGTGGGGGAAGCGCTGGAGGTTGTAGAAAATTCCTGCAAACTTTCCCACCCTGGTGCCCCTGCCCCAACCCCCACTCTGGCATCCAGCCCCATCAGAACAGTGTCAGGGGGCTTGGGGAAGCTCTTGCTGAGGATGTATTCTGGTTAAGACTCAAGGACTACCTTCATCTTCCCCTTCCATGTCTGACCATATATCTTCCCCTTCAAGCAAAAGTAATGTGTCTGCTGATCGCTGTTGACTATCATATACAGGAACTCTCTTCCTCAAATCCCCCTTTCCCACCCCTAGAATGTGCTTTCAGAGCTAAAATGAAGCTGCTTCCTGTTCTTCAGAGAAGGACATGAGCTGATCAAAGTGGAGGCCAAGAAGGGGGCCCTGGCTTCTGGGTTTTGCAGAGACACCAACATTGAGCTTTCGTTTTGAAAGGGTTGTGATCTCATTTAAATTGAGATGTTAGTGGGGGAAAGTTAAAGAGGCAACCTATTTTTATGGAAAAGCGTTGGCCTGGGAGTCAGGAGACCTGGGTTCCAGTCCAGACTCTGCCTTTCACTCGTGTGTGACTTTGGGCAAGTCCTTTCACCCTCTTGGGTTTCAGTTTTTATTACCTGCAAAATAGGCAAGTCCAACAATCATATAGGTTCCTATAAATCATAGGTTCCTTACGATTCCACGGAATTAAGGCATGGCAGGTTTCAGTCTAGGTAGACTCCTTGAACAGGATTGTATGGCAAGTTTCTTCTTTCTTTCAGTGTACTTTGTCCCACAGTTTATAGGCCAGCAGCTGAGAAGGTAGGAATCTCTCTCTTCAGGGTCTTCATTTGTCGGGATTCTTTACTCCTTGGAAGTTTCATTGGGATTGGAGGTGAGGGAGAAGCCAGGAAAGAGTGGTGGGAGGAAGGGGATTTATCACAAGAAGTGTAAGCAGAAATGACAGTAGAAGGGGTTACTGTCCAGTCTCTCTCATCACAGGTCAGTCTTTCTCCTTGGAAAAGCAATCCAAAAAAAAGGCGTTTAAGATTAGCATGGAACGTGTCCTATAAAAACATTAGCTGATTAGAAAGCAATAAGTGATACTGGGGAAAGCAGCAAACTTGCAGTTGAATGACCTGGGTTTCAATTTAGGCTTTATACTTTCTAGTTTTATAAACCTTGGGAAGTTACCCAAACTCCCTGAGTCTCAGCTTCCTCATCTGTAAAATGGGCATAATGATACCTATCTTGTTATGAAGATGATGGATGTTAAAGTGCCTGGAACACAATTTAAGCTCAGACATTGTTGGGGTTTTTTTAATTCTCCTCACCTTTAATCCTATTTTATGCTAGAGTACGCCAGTCAAATTCCTGATTTCAAAGTTCTCATCTTTAACATGACCTTCTACCTGCATTATCACTGAGAAAGAGCAGAGCTCCTGCCAAACTCCAGCCCAGCCTTTGTCCTAGAAGATTAAACTTATACCATCAATTGTACCTACTGTCTCTTTTCCCAGACTTTCCAGATTCCAAGGACGGAGGCTGGGTGTTATTCATCTTTGTGTCCCCAGTGCCTGACCCAGTGTAGTTAGTCATAAAAAGGTTGTTGGATAAACGAGAGGTATTTGAGCATTGGTTCTTGTTCGTTTTTTTAACACCAATAAAAATAGTGACAGATAGTCTCCTGTATTTATATTTCACTTTGGCTTGCAAATATTTTTGCATATATTAACTTAATGTAACCCTAACCAGAAACCCTTAAGTAAGGTTATACTCACTCCCTCCATATTCCTATTTCATATTTTGGGAAAAACAGAGGTCCAGAGAAGGGATAAGACTTACACAATTTACATCCAGGGATGGCATCAGAATCAAGTCCATGTTTCCTAGACTAGCCCCAAGTGCTAATGTCCAATTAAAAATTTACTGCAGGTCCTACCATGTGTATTGTACAAGCCAGGCACTCAGAAAATGGGAAGGTTTATGACCCAGTCCAAGGAAAGACTCCGCATATACTTGTTGAAATCCTGCCCCTCCTGCAAGGCCTACCTCAAGAGCCATCTCCTTTCTGGAGCCTCTGGTGGCCCCTCTGGAAGGGAGTCCAGCCTCTGAATTCCAAGAGCACTTAATTTTCCCTTCTGTCTTGACAGGACACTGATTGTGGGTTGCCCTGTTTCATAGGCCCATGTGTCTTTGTCATGTCTTTCTCCTACCAGTACCTGGAAAGTGAGGAGGACATGTTCTTCATCTTTGTGTCCCCTTCAAAGCCTAACATCCTACCTGGCTCACATTGTTCTACAGAAATGTTTGTTGCAGGGAGGGAGAGAGGGGGAAGGGATCTTGCCTGTGGTCTGCCAGCACTGTGGGCAGTAGATTCTGGAGCTGGATAGGAATAGGAATTTAGTGAAAAATCTTGGGAAAAAAATAGTTTTATAAAGAGTTATATGTGAGAATTTCGTTTCAAGGAACCGTTAGAAACTCATTTGATAAGTAAGATGTGCTGGCTGTCTTCAAATAAGTAATTCAAATATAGCTTAGAGAACTTGTAGTTGAGAGTCAGTGCAGAGAAAGGGACTAAACATTGAACTAGAAGTTA